TATAAAATTTAGGTGCGTCGATCATTTGACTCAATAATAGAAAATTTTTGTTCACATGATCTGCGTGACATATCGTGACATATCGTGCCTCTGCTAAGGTTGCGTCATGGTTTCGCAGGTCTCATCAGTTGCGTCACACATCACTAATCGGCATTCCACTTCTATATAGGGCAGATAGTAAAAGTGCGCCTATTTTTTACTATGAAATTTTGGCTCTTCAACTGCGGACTGCCCCTTAAAATTTTTTTAATAAGAAAACCGCCCTTTTTCAAAAGGTTCGGGAATAATCTTTAATATATATTGCAATCAATTTCTATATTGAGTAACATCCCTGACTGTACTGGGAACAATTAAAACATGGCCATTTATTCAAATCAACCAATAAAACAAAAGTACTTCCAACCTATTACTAATACACATGTTCATGTAGTACTAAGATGCAGTAAAGTTACAGCAAACGATAATGAGCATAAATTTGAATGGTTGTACAGGATTACATTTAAATTTCGGTGCTTTCATGAAATTATACTAAAAAAAAATGTCTTTAGTGGATACCATTCCTTCGATAATTGTTGTAGGAGTTAGTAGCATATCATTAATTTTACAAACTATTCACAATCGAAAAAAGTATGTTGAAATACCATCAGACGAGGTTCCTGATGATATAATCACCAGTGCACGCTTCTCAACTGTAAAAAGAGATGTCGTCAAACTTGGGATTACGATACTGCAGGCTGGATTGTTTACTTTCTTGTTCTGTTGGAGATTTAACCTTGAAAATAATGTAATTTATGATGCTATAAATACTGGAATTCTTGCAATTTGTTGGGTAAATCTATCATTTTTATTATTATTTTTCTTTATTGTCGATAACTATTATTTATAGCGTTTTCTTTGATCTAAAAGTTTTATGCCCTCACAATTTCAATTATTGCCTTATCATTGAAATCAAGACGTTGGAAATGGATATTAAATGCGTATTTGACTGCATTTTTTTTTACTTCCTCTTTATGTTCACTTTGGCGACTTATAACTGCTA